ATATTTGACTAAACATAGCAGGTGTAAAAGTGTTAGAATTATCAGAAAAAATAAATTAAGAAATTCTCAGGGTGTTTGAAATGAATAAATGAAGTCTTTCTAACAGGATATATATTGGAGATATATATTTCATCTAGAAAATGATGAACAAATGAGATTTTGCAAGACAAGTTTTGCAAAAATCACAACTTTAGTGTTAAATCCTACATGTCATGGAGGATAATTATGGAAACATCTATGGACAAGAGAACACCACAAGAACCTTTTGCCCTTGGTAAACACACAATACAGAATGTCACTAAGGCTGACAAGTGCTTCTAGTTCTAAGAGTCACTGATTTGTAAATTCCCCAAATTTCTCTTATATTTGTACATCAAAAAGAGAGGACTGGCCTTATATTCTGTGAGTCTTTGAAAGATTATGCTGGGCATGGTGCCACATGCCTGTAATCCCAGTGCCTCAGAAGGCTGAGACAGGAGGATCTAAAGTTCAGGGCCAGCCTCAGCAATTTAGCGAGGCCATAAGCAACTTAGTGAGACCTTGTATCAAAATTCGAAAAATTTTTTTAAAAGGGCTGGGTATCTGGCTCCATGGTAAAGCATGCCTGGCTTAAATCCTCAAAAAAAAAAAAAAAAAAAGATTATTTATTGAATATCTTTGGGACTTAGGTAGACAAGTTTATTTTAATCTACTTTAAAAGTATGTGTCTTTAATTTTTATTATTAATTTTCTGAGTACAGATATATATATATATATATATATATATATATATATATATATATATATACATATTGTGTATAACATGATGTTTGTAATTGTGTAATGGCTAAATCAAGCTAATTAATGTATCATTTTTTCATATACTTATTTTTTGTAGTGAGAACACTTAATATCTACACTTTCAGCAATTTTTAAGGATACAATACATTGTTACTATAGTCATCAGATTGTATAACAGGTCTCTTGAACTTATTCCTCCTATCTGGCTGAAATTATTTTAATCTATGCAAAGTTGCATGAAATAATTCAGAAACTAAACATGATATTTTAATTCTATAAAAATATTTCTTCCTTTAAGACTTTAAATTTTTAACTGTCAACTTTAGCACAGATGATTATAAATGTCTATAGATTTGGTTATTTTCCAACCAGTCACTATTTTCACTTGCAACTGTGAACAATTACTCAGCGATTTAGATCAAGTCCTATCTTTTGACAAATTAGCTGAGTACTTTTGGGCAAGCCATTGTGAGGATTCGGAAGGGAATACCTGGGACCAGAAAAGTGCCTTGAAACAATGGTGTGTTGGGAAACCAATTTTGGGGAACGCTGATAGATCTGCTCTTGCCAGCTTCTGTGGCGCAGATATTCCCACCATGGTTAATTTCAGGTTACCAACAATTTAACCATCAGTGTGAATCAATAAAGGTCCAGCACACAAATGCAACATAGTTAGTTTTCAGTAAATAATTAGTTTCTGTTGTTACTAAATCTAAGGTCCCTCAAAGTTTTATCAGTGTTGTGAGTTGTACAAATGATAGAGGGGTGTCCAGTTAAATAGCTAAATGGAGGAAGACATTATAATTATTAGCAGGTAGGTTTTGAGAAAGATTTTAGAAGATACCTAAATTTAGACATGAGGGCAGGCATATATGGAAGTAGCAGTCTTGAGAGAAGTTTGGAGTGAAGGTAAGAGGGGAGATAAGATCAGAAAATATATGTACCCAAAAGCCTGCATGTGCCGAAAGGAACATGTGATACCTAAATTGATTTCTAGATATGTGTATAGTATTTATTTCTTTTTGGATATGGGGAACTGTTTTGATTAGACTTTTTGTTTCTTGGAGGATGAAAAAAAATAGTTAATTATTAAAGTTACTGGGAGTCAGGGTGTAGAATGAGAACTGTTACTGTGCAGAAGTGTGTGAATGGGTTTCTAGGAAACCAAAAATGTCAGGAAAAGCATGCTAGCAGTGGCTTTGGGTCCCAAGTTGCCCTGGGCTGCTCAGCAGCACTGAATCATGGGTGTTCCATTTGGTTTCCCTATTCTTACTGTTTCCTCCTTTTTTTAAACAAGTTCTTCATCCTCTGTTCTGTGTATCTTAAACATAACTCATAGTTTCTGTTCTTTCATAAAAGTGGTTCATAGATGACTCAGTTTTTGTTGTTGTTGTTGTTGTTTTGTTTTTAAAAGATGCATCTGAGCTGCCTAAAACCATAGAATCTCTAAGTGTGTCCTAGGTGTTTGAAATGACCCAGTTCTTCTGGTGATTCTCATGCATCCTAGAGCTCAGAAGCTCAAAGGTTCCATTTGAGTAAGAGTTGTGAGTAAAGTATGGCCCCTTTTGTTGGGAAGGGAGGGCATATGGATATATTTGCTCGAAAAGCTATATTTTAGAGAAAGGAAAAAAACTTTTAAACTAGATGCAAAAAATCAAACATTCAGTCATTCAAAGTCAGGCTTAAGAGATTTAAACATCAAATTATTCTAGTGCTCTCTAAAGAAAACTATGCTGTCATTTGGATTATTATTCTGGATTCCAGTCAGTGGTTGGATCATACGAAAATGTTTGTTATTGTTAAATGATAATCCAAAAGAAATAGTCATAGGGGAAAGTGCTTAGATTTTAGAGGAGAAAACTTTGGAAGTGGGAATGTTATTGGAGATGAAAGGAAAACATGGACTGGGCACTAAAATATTTAAAAGGATGTTCATGGGACGAAAGGAGTAGATTTTCTAGAAGTTATATTTAATTCTCACAGCAGTGTATGAGGAAGATGTAGTTATTTCTGTCTTACAGATGATAAAACCAAGGCTTGCAGAAGTTTATTCATTCATTCATTTTACAGATATTTATTAATAAGTTTTCCATGTGTGTTTTAATAATTATAATGAGCAAAAAAGGACATTGCCACTCTTGTGGAGATGATAGGCCAGTGGGACAGAGAAGCCACCAGTGAACTAGAAAGAAAGGATATGCTCTTAAGTCCTGAGAATGTGACTGTTAGGAAATAACACAGTACATCACACAGAAGGAAAGAGAATTAGGTGACAAGAAAACTATTTATGTGCAATTTGTTTGGAAGATTTCTCTGAGGTGGTGATGTTTAATGATCTTTACTGATGAAATATACACTAGATTTGAAAGGAGAGAATAAATCAACCATAGAGGAGAGAAGGCGAGGTGGCTTCTAGCAAACGAATGGCAGATGTGAAAACTGCAGGGCAAATTTCATTGATATTATAGAACAATGTTACACAAATATGGTCTGAGGATGTTTGCCCTTCTGAGAACCATTTCTTACTAAATCTGAAGTAAAATAAGCACATAACTGAGTAGATACCATGATAACAATTTGACAGTAATTTTATGTCTGTTGAATCCAATAATTAAAAATGAGATTATAGTTAGAAAACTAGAGTTACGTTTTATATATATTTTATTTTGGTAATAATTCATTGGGGTTTGGTTTTTGTTTGTTTGTTTTTTAGTATTGAGCTAATTTGGGGGGGAAAATTGTACTTCTGTGGAACATTAATAGTTGATATTAGACATGTTGACAGGCTCTGAAATATCCAGAACTTCACAGGTTCTGGTAAATTACCCAAGATTACATAGAGAGTGAGAACTAGAGCCAGGATAAATTGTAGGGCTTATTTCAAGTCCACATGCCTTGTAGAAAGGAGCATGTCCTCTCAGGTTATGCGCTAGAAAGTCAATAGCCCCTGAAAAGGTCCCTGTGTCTACTTTGTGACCATTCCCAACGTGTGGTCTATCAAGTTACTCTCCATTGGGAACAAAGCTCCAGGGCTTATCAATAAAACACATTTAGATCATTTGACATTCTTGAACATGTCCTTTTACTTGTAATCGTAGGTGATTCTCCAGACTGATATTTCTTGGATGCCCTATGTGTTTTTTAAAGAACATCATGGTTCACTTATCATTTTGGGTGGGGAACATCTACTTCTTCATCTTTACTGATGAAATATACACTAGATTTCTGAGTTTCTTAAACCTTCTATTGCATATCTTCTTAAAATACATGAACATAGAAATTATGCATGTCCAAAGTTAACATCTTGGTCTTTCTTTTATCCAGAGCCCTAGAGGAGCCACACGGAACCCTGAAAGATTTTCCCTGATCTACTTGAATCTGATGTAAGAGGAAAGAAGGAGGAAAATAGGTCATTCTCCAAGGCACTTATATGAGCAAAAGAGGCGGGAACGAATGTTTTAAGAATTCCATGACTTTTCACTGCCATCTAAGCTACTCAGTGTTTGAAGTCCAAGAGAAAGTCATTTTACCTCTCAGGTCTGTTGTAGGACTTGATTTTGTAAAGCAATGCAGTGTTGTGCTGTTGGAAGGCACTGGACTTAGAATCAGGACGTTGAGCTCACAGGCTGACGTGGGCTCCCACCGGTGGGAACCCTGTGTTGGTCACTTTACCTCAATGAGCGTCTGTGTCCTCATCCAAAATGGTAACAGTCTTGGACCTGATAATTTACCATGCAGTTGTAAAAATTGATGAAATTCCAGGAAGAAAAAAAAAAAAAAGGAATAGGAAAAGGAGGAAGAAATGAGAGAGAGAAGAAAAAATATGAAGGGTCCAAAGAACTTTTCTGAGACTACCTTTGCCTTTCTGTTGTTCTGTCTCTTCTGTTGTACTTAGGCCCAGGAGCCTGTTTTCCCGCTGTTTGGGATCTAGTCTATTAGCTGCTCACTGTTTTGCTAATTGTTGACCTTGCTAGAACCTTTGGTTTCCCTGCCATTTTTTTTGTGTGCTTCTCTGAGGTTTACTATGATGAAAATAGGACAGAATTTATTGTGAAATAACATTGGCAACCTTAACTTATCTACTTAACTTATTTTTGTAGCAGTATAAATAGTGTTAGTCTTAGACAATAGCTCACATTTTAAAGACAGCATGCTTCCCCTGACCATTTGTCCCATCCTATGACCCCAGCCCTCATTCTGAACTCAGTCTAGTGTAAAGAAAATATATTATGAAAACAGATATTTAGACATCCTGTAGAGCAGTCAGCCTGTTCATACACTTGGCCTCTCCTGGATCCTTTTCCCATGAATTAACAACTTCTCACCACAGGAGAGGAGACAAGTATGAACTTACAATGACTTTATCTTAAAGATATTGTTCTAACTAGTAGAACAATATGGATTCTTAACCATAAGACCGAATTAGTGTGTTTCTTTTCAGTATTTTTTCCCTTGTCTTTCTCTATCCAGTGACCTAGAAATTAAAATGTAAGTTGTTTTCATTGTTGAATTGAATATTTATATATTTAGTAAGTTTTTCATGTGTTATTTAATTCTGTATTATTTCTTATATTTGTATTAAAGTACTGAACAATTAAACGTGTCACCTATAAATATTTGATGTATGCTACTCTCTTGAGAAATGTGGAATTCTTATATTTTTCTCTGTGTGTGTGAAACCCTTCTCTCTTTTCTATCTCACACTCCATAAAAGATGCAGTTGACATTTCTGATTAATCACAAAAGCACAAATCGAGGACTCTGACCTGGCCGGAGGAAGGTCCCCCAATTTGTGTCTTTTAACATGGACCATGGGTCATAGTACATTTCCTGATGTGTGTTGTTTTGGTTTTGCTTTTAGATACCAAAAAAATAAAAGATTTCAAAGGTTCAATAGCTCACATAGTTTTGAATTTAGTGGAACCATCACTCTGTATTTTGCTAGATTTCTGTAGAGCAGTCAGAGTAACTGAAAGCACCAGTTCTCAAACATTTTGGTATCAGTACTGCTTTATGCACTTAAGGGGACTCCAGAGAGCTGTTTTGTAAGGTGAATTATATATGCTCATATTAACCATATTTGAAATGGAAACTTATAAAGTTTTAAATCAAAAATTTATAATCACATATCATTGTAGCTCTCTGAGTGTTGCCAACATCATATATCACACGGCACATTTGGGAGACCATGAGAGAGAAAAGAGAAAATAATGGATTGATGTAATTATGAAAATGATTTTGATTCCATGGACCCCTGAAATGGTCTCAGAGACAATATTCAAGACTTCTCAGGAGAACACCTTATAAGAATATTTCATGAGCCTTTCTCAAAGGAATTCCTTCCTAGACAGCTGCTACCAGAGTTTGTGGGCACTTCACCATTTCACCAGCACTGTATTCAAGAAATGGCCTTTCTGGAATCTCTCTTTCAAAATTTAGAGATTTCAGAGAGCCCTGAGACTAATCCTTCTTCACCATTAATCATTCAATTTACATTGGGTATTAAACAGCTTATCAGTTACCTTTTGGAACCTTAAGACCCTTGACTTAGAACAGGGATGTTTGATGGAGATGACTTGGAGGGTCAGAGAGAAGATAAGAGGAGCAGGAAGGGGTCAGGTAGAGCATGTGCCTCTGTCTGAAAGGGCATGACAGTGTGTGGCACTGTGGTCCTGCCTTCCCTGTGACTCCTGCCCTTTCACCCCTGGGAGGGGCTTCCCAGCCCTCCCGCTCTCTACTCATCTTGAACTTGAGATTATGGGTGATTTTTGTACTTGTGAATTAGAAAGAGGTAATCAGGACTTTGCATATTTAAGCAAAATTGAGGAAGTTGTAAACTTTTGAGTCACTTAGAATAATTCAATCTCATATTTCTTAGTAAAAATTTGAAAAAATTCCAGGGTGCTGGTAAGCTTGCTCAGAGATAAGGGAAAACAAAAGAAGATTTGTGTCCTTAACTGAAACTGAAATCTGAAGTTGAGGATTTTTTTTTCTTGGTAGTTATTCATCAGTCACTGACTAGATAATTCATAAATCTAGGTTGGAAGAAAACAAAATCCATATTAGTACTAAGAATTGAACTCTTTGGTTAAAACAATTTTCTTGAAACAAATTTCTTCTATATATATATAACTTACCAAGTCAGTGATTTCACTTTTTAAAATAAGTTTGTTTTGGATTATTTCCTCAAAATTATAATTTAATTTTTTTTTTTTTTTGTATTTGTCCTCAAAATATTCCAGAGTTGATCTCAGTGCCCCTCTATGGATACTTAGAATAATTAACTTGAGCAGGTCACATAGGGCTAGGACACAACCCAAGCCAGTCAACACTTGCACAGATACCATAATCATTGCACAGATACCTGGTGAGCCCATTTGTGGAGGTATAAAGGCCAAGACTCCAATTTTTTTGGCGACTTTCTTTAAGTATCACTGAGTATGTGTTATGGGGCCAAAACTGCAACTCAGAATTCCAGGTTTCCTGTCCAGTGTCCTCTGCTCTACCACCTCTGCTGTGATCCATCCTATCTCCCACGTGTGAGTGTACCCTGTTTGCTTTGGAATTCAACTCCTACCTCCAGTCCTACCTTCTGACCCAAACCATCTTATCATTCTCCTAGTTCTTGGCAACTGCTTTAATTAATCTCTCTGCTTCTGCCTTCTCTTCTGGTTAGTTTATTCTAAACATAACTTTTCTAAACGACATCAAGTCAAATCATGCCACTCCTTGGTACAAAGGGTCTAAGTGCTTCCCATCTTACATACAACAGAAGGCGAAGTCTTTACATGGTCCATAAGACTTCACATGAAGGTGCTCCCTCCTCCTCTGAAGTCATCTCCTACTGCTCTCACTCCTGATCTCTGGCCTCTCTGATGTTTCACTTATCTTCCAGACATGTTTCCACCTCAGGACCTTGGCACTTTCTTCTCTCTCTGGAAGATTCTTTCTGCAGAGAGCCACATGTGGTCCCCCCTCAACCCCCGTGACCAACATGCCCTAACTCCCTCTCCCACTTCATGTGGTTCCTCCATCGCAACCATCACTATTCAAAATATTCTATATATTTTACTTGCTTGTTTTATTTATTATTTGTCTCCTTCCACTAGATTGTAAGCTTCATGGGAGTTGGAGATTTTTATCAGTCAGTAAATCCTTCTCAAGTGAATTCTTTTCCTACAAATACCTTATGGGAGAAAGGAGCAGTTCAGAAGACATTGAACTGGAGCATCCTTTCTGCCCTATGGGAGAATGAGTGTAAAAAAAAAGGACTGAGAGAAATTGGTAGTTGTGAAGCACAGAAACAAACATGATGGATCCCAAAGAATGGAGTTTCGTTCTATGCTTGGCATTTCGTATGTGTGATCATGGGCCAGTCACCTAATCTCTTTGGAATTATATTTTCTCAAGTATAAACTACAGTGTGCACCAAATCTATCTCCCGGGGTGGTTACAAGTTTCAAAAATACAAGGAGTAAATTCTTCTCCATGACATAAAAATTCCCACTGCATCAGCACAAGCTTCTTATCCTCAGTGACCTGTCCAGTGCCCCCTCACCCCACAGTCAGCCTCATCCCTGTTCAGAACTACACACAGGATTGAGGAGGAAGTGGAGCCCTGGAGCCCATGGGAGCTGCCATTGGATGAGCAGAGAGAAAACCCATTGGGTTTTGCTTCAGAAGCAGAGGCCTGAGTGTACTACCCAGCATGACTTGGCCTTTCCTGTGCTGAGGATGAGGCAGAAGGAAAAACATGGAAAAGGTCAAAGTCTGTCTCTGCTGCGTTGGCTTGCCCAGAACAATTGTATTGTCTGACGCTGGAGTATGACTGTTTGTGACCCCTTCAGAGACAGCAGAGAGATTCCAGATCACTTAAAGCCGATGCCAAAGCTGACATGCTTGGTTTCCCTTTCCAGAGTTATGTTATTAAATCAAAGAGATAACATGTCATGACAGAAAGATCTGGCCAGAACTTGAGTGGTTTCAGAGAACTCAACAAATTCTTTGATAGTTTTAATCTGATGAATATTAGTCTAGATAGTGGAGTATTCAACTCAAAAATATATTGAAACACCAGCTGGTACCCCATGAATATGTACAATTTTATGTGTTAATTTTAGAAATTTTAAATTAAAAAAGCTGGAATCCAAAAATGGAGTTATAAAAAAAAATATGTAGTTACATTTTTCTGGGAGTAGTTTTCCCTTTTCAGTCCGGGTACAGAAAGCCCAGCTGCTTAGGTTATGAAGCTCAAATACCTCATGATCAAGTGGTGATGTTTAGCTCTGTACCTAAAAATTTTCTTAAATTCTACACATGTTGGTTTCCTTTCTGGTAGATCAATGATAATTATCATATAGATCTCATTTAACATTAGGTCAGGTGTTGGCTTTGATTAAATATCCTTAAATAGCATATTGATTAAGAGACTGGATGACTCTTAGTTAAGAAACATCAGGAAGTACTACAATTTCAGTAACTAATTGCAAAAACAGTGAGCAGTCAGATGGAAGCACAATGATCACCTGTGAACCTTTAGAGGTAGGTAGAACTGGCTTAGCAGTGTTTGTGAAATATACCCTGTAGCTATCCTAGACATTATTCTCCCCTACCCCTTGTCCCAGTGGATTTCAGAGAGGTCAAACTGGTTCTTGGGCTGCTCAGACATGGTTGGAGCTATTCAGGGAAAAAAGATGCTTCTATTTCATTTTAGAGCTAACTTTAATTTACAAACCATCATGTACAACCACAAGAATTAATT